GTACTATGAGGCACATATTCGTAAGAAGGGAGTGAGCCTTGTACTCACGCATGCCACTTCCACGAAACGCATGACAACGCGGCCAAAATGGAATCCCAGGTGCACTAGACCCAGGGGAGTTGGGGAATAGACGTGCAACTCCTCCGGGAAATCACGGGCGCCGGAGGGGCATGCGTGAGAGTGAGAGGCTGGGGACTATGAAGCACATGTTCGTAAGAAGGGGGTGAGCCTTGTACTCATGCATGCCACTTCCACGAAACGCATGACAACGCGGCCAAAATGGAATCCCAGGTTCGCTTGACCCAGGGGAGTTGGGGAATAGACGCGCAACTCCGGGAAATTACAGGCGCCGGAGTGGGATGCGTGAGAGTGAGAGGCTGTGCACTATGAGGCACATGTGCGAAGAAAGGGGCGGGGCTTGCACTCATGCATGCCACCTCAACCAAATGCATGACAGCGCCGCCAAAATGGAATCCTGGGTTCAGTATACCCAAGGGACCTCGGGAATAGACGAGCACCTCCGGGAAATCAGGGGCGGCGGAGTGGCATGCATAAGAGTGAGTGCCACTGCACAATGAGGCACAAGTGAAACGCAAGGGGTGAGGCTTGAACTCACGCATGCCACTTCCACCAAACGCAGGACAACGCGGCCAAAATGGAATCCCAGGTGCTCTAGAACCAACGGACTTCGGGAATAGACGCGCAACACTGGGAAATCAGGTGCGCCGGAGTGGCATGCGTGAGAGTGAGTGTCACCGCACTATGAGGCACAAGTGAAACGCAAGAGGTGAGGCTTGCACTCACGCATGCCACTTCCACCAAACGCAGGACAACGGGGCCAAAATGGAATCCCCGGTTCACTAGAACCAAGGGACCTCTGGAATAGACGCGCAACTCCGGGAAATCAGGGGCGCCGGAGTGGCATGCGTGAGAGTGAGTGCCACCGCACACTATGAGTTACAAGTGAAAAGCAAGGGGTGTGGCTTGAACTCGCGCATGCCACTTCTAGGAAACGCATGACAACGCCCTGGAGTGCCATGCGTGCGAAGAAACCCCCATGCTCTCCGAGGCACCTGTTCATAGTGCCACCGCACTATAACGCATGCCAACGCGGCTAAAATGGAATCCCAGGCTTACTAGACCCAAGGGACCTTGAGAATAGACGCGCAGCTCCGGTAAATCACGGGCGGTGGAGTTGCAACCGTGTGAAGGAACCCCCATGCACTCTGAGGCACCAGTTTAAACCAAGGGCTTAGGCTTGTACTCACGCATGCCAATTCAACGTAACGCATGTTAACGCCCATAAAATGGAATCCCAGGTTCACTAGACCCAAGGGACCTCGGGAATAGACGCGCAACTCCGGTAAATCACGGGCGCCGGAGTGGCATGCGTGCGAAGGAACCCCCATGCACTCTGAGGCGCCTGGTTAAACCGAGGTGTGAGGCTTGTACTCACGCATGCCACTTCCACGTAACGCATGCCAACGTGCTTAAAATGGAATCCCAAGCTCACTACACCTATAACGCTGGTTGCTGTCTCAGACTGTCAAGCTTGGACAAATATGCTTGACAATGCTAGTGTAATAAAAGTTTGCAAAACAAGGATTTACTCGCTATCCAGTAACCAAAGTGTTAAATGAATAAATATCACATACCGAAAGTATGTATCTTACTTGAAAGCACCAACTGCTCAATTTTATTTTTGTTGTGAACGCAGTGAATACTCAAGCAAATAACGTAAGATACTTAATATGCAATGTTTTCTTTGCTTTCTCCTTAAGACAATTAAGATTTTCAAAGTCAGCAGCAGACAGAATGGCTTGTCACGGTGTACCGAAAACATTTTTGCTTCCTCTGGTGTGCGTCCCAACCATCTTTCACTTTGAGCTGGTGAAGGCAGATGTTCGAGTGCCCTGTGGCATGGTGAAAGACTGGTTTCCTACCGGTATACAGCCTCAGATTTCACAGCCCCCTTACGTGCTGAATATAACTGGTCCGAAATGGAAACATGGATGAACCACATTATGGACCCGAGCAGAAGACATACACAAGTGAATAACTTTTTTATTCTTTGCATGTTTTTACGATCAGTTAAATATCGTTTGAATAATCTCATAAAATTACCCATTTTTATCTCTTACCGAGGGCTTAAGCTACATTCCTCAGTAAGGAAATCTTACATTGGTATTTAGGGATATTATCACATTTTCTTGACCCTCCAAGGGGATGGTGAGATGTACACCATTGAAAAAATAGCCAAGAAAATATAGCCAAGAAAAAATAGCCATTGAAAAAATAGCCAAGAAAATCGCATCGGGCATTGGAGCAATTAAACGTTGTAGGCCTTTTGTTAATCGAACCACGCTTGAGTCCGTTTTCAATGTCTTAGTTCAACCGTACTTTAATTACTGCAGCGAGGTCTGGGGGCATTGTAACAAGGGTCTTTCGAATAAGCTCCAAAAGTTGCAAAACCGGGCTGCCCGTATTCTGACCTTCTCCAGTTATGACACAAGCGCTGATCCTCTTTTTGTGCAACTTAACTGGAGACGGTTAGATACTCAGCGACAAATACAAGTGGCCACCATGGTCTATAAATCTATACATGGTCTTGCGCCCGACTATCTTGGTTCTCTTTTCACTAAATATGATCCTCCATATAATCTAAGGAACTCTGAAAACAAACTAGCTGTTCCATTGCCCCGCACCAATTTCCTGAAAAATAGCTTTAGCTATAACGGTGCGGTTATCTGGAATAGCTTGTCCCCTGAATTGCGGCAAGCAAAATCACTTCAATCCTTCCGAAATGGTTGTCGCAATTTCTTCCTCTGAATCGACAAAACACACACGGCATCTATGTAAAGCAGAATTTCTTTATTTTTTTCTATTTTACTTTTAAATTTTAGATCATGTTTATATAGATTAAAATAGATTGTAACTGTAATAATAGATTGTAATAATATTATTATTTTATCTGATAGATTTACCGTGTCTAAATAAAAATAAAGTTCAAGTTCAAGTTCAAGTACACACGTCCCAATCCCCCTCACTTGTACATTTGTCTGTGGATGAAAAACCTTATCGGGTTGATGTTATTTTTAACTCGCTCTAAAATGGATATAGGTCAATTAATAACAATAAGGTTAAGGGCGTAGTTAGGAGGAAGTCCTGGGTGCTGATGAACATACCCCCTTTTCCAAGTGGGGTGATTTGAAAAAGCGCAAATTCGAAGAGTCTACACTTCATAAAGAATATCACTTTTATCAACATACAGCGTGGATGTAGACATGACAGTAGGGAAGGTAGCCGAGGTGTTACATAGTATGACCCCCTACCCCCCCTGCCGCCCTTTGAAAAATGCTTACTACGCCCCAGTAATTGCTTAGATTGCAGGATATTTGCTAATTTGACGTTTACTTCCTGTTTCTCTCTGGTATCGTTGAATGGAACTCGCTCCGGTAATGTTACACAGAATTTCACGGGCTTTATGCTTTATGCCTACAATGAGTTCGAAGACGAAGACAGTGGAGATTTCTTGTCCCCGCTACCTACTGGAGTGTCCAAGAGGAATTGTCACTTCAAAAGCACCGCACAATATGTAAGTAAGGCTCGCTCAAACAGCTAGGACAGTCGGCAAGCCCTCGAGAAATTCGAACTGGAGTATACGTGAATGTGTTAAATAGCTACACGCACAGTTCATGAGTTGATTTAGAAAGAGAGAGGGAGACTTAGGCCCTCCTTTTTGTATTATATCATTTGTATTTTTTTTATTCGTCACCTAGCGCTGTTAGATCGAGTGAATGCTAACATGACAGTGAGCATACAGCGATGATGCAAAACTATCACGTCATAGCATCCCCTTCCTTTGAAAAGTTGCCAGGAATTCTAGAATGGGTCAAGTTACGAATTTTTGAAGTTACCATGGCTTTTCCTCTTGGAGAAGCATTTCCCGATGTGATGCTAACTCACGACCGCACTTAAATCTACCTGTTTATTTTCCTTTTTAGATCGAGGTACTTGAAAAGTCAACAAACAGCATGCAGTGGAATAGCATTCAGATCAAATGTGAATCGCCTGAGAAAAGCATATCTGGAAGAATTACTATAAGGTATCTACAACGCTTATTATTATTATTATTATTATTATTATTATGATTATTATGTTCTCGGAGATCATGATGCGGTCATTGAACCCAACTGTACCATCAAACTTTGGAGCTCCTTATCAAAATGAAAAACCTGGCTACCATATGGCTTATTTTGTTGTGGCCGGAGTATTCGAGGAAAACACTTGTGTCCGTGGGTGACTTTGCGCGCCGGACGTTTCCACCGTTGATTTCGTTTATGTGTTACTGTTAAGGTGTAGCTATCCACAATCAAACAAAGAAAATAAAGACACTTGGACCGTCTTCACAGCAGACATTGGGGTGTAAAGCGAAGCGGATGGAAGTTTTGCGTACCCTAAAAAAAGAGACCTTTGCGCGCCCCAGTCTTGCGCGCGACATTTTTATCACTTTATTTCCCTCATATAAGAGGTATTAATGGGCGAGGGAAACCTTGTTGCACAGTTGCATAGTAATATTCTTAATAAAACTACTGCAGTAATTATTGTTATATTCTTATTGTCGTTACCAGCGCCAGTGTGGTTAAGGAGTATGGCGTTTTTTGGGATGGACTTAGTGCGACCCTTAACCGTAAGTTTCACGCCCAACATAAGCTAAAACTCCCTCTTGGTTCACTTCAGTTTCTCACTGTACCAGTTTTCTTGTAGTTTCAATTCCATTTTATATTCTCAGATATGTGCCCAAGCTTTGAAACGATTTACAATAACTCCCTGAGAACATCTGAATCTGTTGCAATTTTCAAGAACCTTAGAACATGTTCACAGACGCTTTTTAATTTACGATTTTTTATAATTTTAACTGCTATGTTAATTAGTCTATAATTTTGTAAAGCGCTACGGAGAACTAGTCGAGCTTAGCGCTATATATAAATGCTTTATTATTATTATCATTATTATTATTATTATTATTATTACTACTATAACCTCCCAAAAGGCTACCCGATGGTCTCACTAGAAATAAGTATGGATGCATTACTTGTGAATGTGCAGGTCAGTATAGACCGCGAGAATGCCTGATTACGAGAGTTTATCACCACCCAAACCACTGAATCAGTGCAATTCAAGGCTACTATTTGATACATTTTTGCGCAGTTCGAATGCATGTGCCAAATTAGGCTTAAACTTTAAAACACAATCTATGGTGTACCAACTCAGCCATACAGAAGCCCAGAATTTTTGCAATTTCCCATCGAAACGACATTTAGTACCATTAGGGGTAAGTTTCTAAAGAAACTGTGGTGCTGCGTCGGTAGGGGTAACAAGGTAATTTAGTTCTATCAACTGAATTGATATCAGTATAATTTCAGAGCTGAGCAAAGAGTTTCCAGCAATCTGATTGGTCGAGTGGTTCCTTATATGACGCTATATAAACCACTCCACGCGGTTTATATAAAATGTTAAAATAAAATGTTAATAAATGATGTTACTAAAATGTCGTGATTTTAGAAATTTCTCAGTTGTTCAGCTCTGAAATTATACTAAAACAATTATTCGCCTCAGGTTTGGTGAATTATTCGACGATATTCACCTCGCCTTCGGCGAATAATTGTTAACCATAAATTGTCCACCGTTAATGGTTCAAAGCTGACGTTTCGAGCGTTAGCCCTTTGTCAGAGCGAATGGGGAAGGGCTAACGCTCGAAACGTCAGCTTTGAAACTCTTTACGGTGGCCACTTTACATTATCTACTCAGTTGATAAAACCAAATTACCTGTTTATACTATTATATTGGTAGTCCGTCCAGATGGCAAGTATCCTTAGCGATGGAACTTTGTTTGGAGGAGAGACAGGGAAATACTAACAATACAGCCGATCAGCCTCCCTCAACTGAATATCTTTTATTCGCAGGAGCTTCAAGTGTCACTGTTGGGTTCCTTAGCCTTGTGGTTATAATATTCAGCGCAGTTAACAATTTGGTTTAAAATAACACTTGTTGAACAGTTTTTCTTTTTGTAAATGTATAGTTTGTTCGTTTTTGGCTTGTGGTACCTGTACTAGATGAAGTCCCCTAGATATGTCGCATAGCATTGTAATTGTTTTGCATTTATAGTCCGTGTACAGCAGTTCGTGGAATCGTTTCACACAAAAAGAAAGAACAGAAAATTGTGACCAAATCATTGCTGGTTAGGAATATTACACTCACGATTTTAACCCCATTCTGGCTTCATGAGCCAAGTTCTCGCTTCGCTCGGCCTTAGTACTGCAAACTGCATTCCACATGTACGATATAAAATGTTTACAACTTAAAATCACTTGAAGGGGTTACTTGCTAATTATCAGTACATTTTATCTGGGATATGGTATGAGAAGCCCGTGAAAGGATTCTGACTTTGCTGTGGTGCAACCAACTCTTTGACCAGCTGGGCAAAAAGCCGTTATCATCAACGATAAATATATAAATGAATGAATGAAGAACATGAATAGATGGTCTTAAGCAGAGGGTACGCTTACTTTATTTCATCCGACATTAGTGTATACCTTTTAAGCGCTATTCAATTGATATTCATTTGGTTTCGTCATTTTCTAGTTCAAATACTCAGTGTCTGATAGTTTTACTCTTAACTAATAAATCCACTTGAAATGAAATAAAAGGTGTAAGATCATTGAAGTTTTCAATATGATATAAATGTATAGTTGCACAGTGTTTCTTTCGACTTTCACTTGAGGTTCACTTCAGCCAGGATGCACACGTTTTTGTCTTGTTGTCTTAAAACAACAGGTATGCCAGAAAAGAAAACATCAGAGAGAGGACTGAGAATTTCACGGTCTCTTCTGCACCTGATGAAAAAATAAATTAAGGTTCCAATTAATGCCAATAAAACAGACATGGGCCACCGACTATTCTGTACTCTGAGGGAGAAAATGGTAAATAATCAGTTTTTTCTTGTCGAAGAGGGAGATCAGGTCGAAAGTATTTTTTTTTCATTCCTTTTGCCCTTTCTTTGTCGCACAATTTACTTACACTGACAAGTGTTACATCCATAACTGTCATATCTGTAGACACCAGTAGGGCATTGAACACACTTTAGTGATGGACACAGGTCTGCATACAAATGATGACATGTAATGTTAATGAATAAATGTATCTGATTAGCTGAGACATGAATTAAAAGATAAAATCAATCCTACATTTGTAAAGGAATTAAGATGTAAACAAACAAAACTTTTTCACTATGATTGAAAAACTTGTATGCTATGAATTAAATGTAAAATCAAATCAATGTAATATACTAACAATATAGCTTACATTTCAGGTGAGCGATAAATCCTTCATAGTAAACAAGAGGATTTGTGCTCTCCAAGACACTTGCTCTGAAATAGAATTTGAAAAGTTATTAAAAAATATATATACTATTTTTCTTTCCTCCAAATAGCTTAAAATAAATTCTGGGGTGGAGAAGGAGGGGGGAGGAAACTGAAGTGTAATAAGCTTAGGCACCCCAGTTTTTCATGTTAGAGAAACTTGGATAGGCTCCACCCTTAGTCTGAAGCAAGCTTCACCTCTTTTTTTTTTTTTAACCCACCTCAACATTGGTAAGTTCTGATTATTAATAATATAAGAACTTTAAGTGTTCAAGTAGAAACATAGTGAGTCTGCTCAGAATCTTTGATTCATCATGAGATATATTTTCCTCATTGACAAATAACAATATCAATAAATTAGTATGAGACAGCATAAAAGTGATCTTTCTGTCTTCAAAAAGAAAACATTCTGAAAGCTCCTTTACATTTGAATACATTTCCCCTATTTAATTAAATTTAATTAAATAATTTTTTAATCTTTTATAAAATATAAAAGAGGAATATTTTTTAGCAGTTGAGGATCCAAGTAGCTATCAATTGAAAATAAAAAATTGTGGGTTGATGATGGCATTATTTTTCAACAAGAAGCAGTTACTGGTATAATTCATGCTCTTAATTTACTTGTTCATTTGTATCAGCACAACTTCTTTAGTCCAGTCTAAGTCCGATTATCCGGACCTGTTGGGACTTAGGTAATCAGTCCGGATAATCGAGAGTCCGGATAATCGAAAATATGAATATTAATGAGACAATAATGTAAACAAAAGAAATGAAGATAACACACTTTAAATTCTAAAAGTCTGCTTCGATGACTCTCCGAGTGCTCGATCTTTTGAAAGCAGAGGAGGTAATGCGCTGTTTTAAAAGCACTTTTCCTGAATTTAGACATAATCTCTGAATTTTTTTACATCATAAAGTTTGGAATATCAAAGCTCATTAATAATCATGAAAAAAACGGGACCAGATAATCAAAAAGTCCAGATAATTGAGGTTTGCCTGTACCTGAATGTAATGTTTCCAGCCTTATAACTTTGGGGTGACTTCCAAATCATCTTCACACTAGTCCAGTTTCCAGACAAAGTGGAATTTTGGATGATCTTTTGGTATGAAATGGAAAAATAAAAACATCAAATATTCCTCAAAGCATGTTTCAGTTCAACAGTGAAACTCAAATTTTCACTTCTGTATATTATGGCTCACTATAATTTGTGAAACGAAACCAAATGAAATGAAAAGAAAATCTGTAATTTTCGAAATAGAAATGTATAAAAAAAATCGTAAACATGACTGAAACTCAAGAAAATCAAAGAGCGTATGTCAGTTCCATTTTCCCAGAAAATGTGCTAATTTTTTTACAAACATGCCACAACATTTTCACATGTAGTTTTGGTCAGGAGGGTGTCGTGTCATGTCACACATTTGATTCATCCATTGACAACCTATATTGTATATACACCTAATATACAGTGCCAGCCAATATTTCAAATTATATGCTCTTTACGGCTTGAAGAGCCAGTAAAAATAACAGGTTGCTGCATATTGGCTCTTTTTAAAAGCCTTGTCTTCTTCTATAATTGCCATGAAGATACAAGTTCATTTTATGCATAACAGTATTTTGTTTCATTCATTGCACACATTTCACATCATACCTGCTGGTTCTATTAATTAAAATGAAAGGATTCTTTACCTAATTTATTAGTGGGGCTTATGGCTTACATACATACATAGAGATCTCCACAGCTAACTTCTTCAACCCCAGAGGGCAAATCTTCTTGAACAAAACGTCCATTGGTGTAATTTTTCACAGAGTTCTCAGAATAAACAATAAATCCAACAAAACTCTTGGAACCATTCAGGTAAACTGTAAATCAAATATTGAAATTCTTTTATATCTTTTTAGATGTTTTGTTGTGTAGTATCGCTGAGTATTTTTATGAGTTCTGCTGTATTTTGATAAGCCCATAAGGGGAGTCAAAATACGGCACAACTCACAAAAATACTCAGCCATACTACACAACAAAATGTCTAATAAGAGAGAGATTAATTATACAATATGCCAAATTGTTATTTCAGTGTGGGCATGATATTTGTACTCATCTTGCACGTTATTTGTACTCTAGGAAGCACGGTTGGATAATAAACCTCATTAGGAGGCTGGCGTGTCAACTGAAAATGTCAGCAGCTAAGATCAATTGTTTGAGAAATGAATATTGGGTGGAGATGCAAAGCTTCGTGGGCAACTGTGAAATTTTCAGGAAATTATCAGCTAATATCCCAGCAAGCCACATGGACATTTATTTTTCTATAACCCTCTCATTAATTTCTGTACATTGGTTAAAATCATTATTACAACAATATTAATACAATTTTTAGTAAAGTGAATATTTAAAACTACTTTACAATGATAATTACATCTCCGTCTTCATTCACTGCAGTTGGCCATTGACATAAGATTTAAGTGTTCACACCATTTTTTTTTCAAAATGGTCATCAAGATTGACAATTTATAATGAAAGATATGTTCCATGCAAATGGGATATTAAATGCTCCGACTGTTCTTTTTTTGCAGACACAACTCCATATTAATTCACAAGGGTTCATATTTATGTGGCAAGAAAAATTTAAAAAAGGCTAAAATTGCTAAATGCACTACTGCTGAAGATATTTTTCAGACAAAAACTTATTAATTGCATTAAAATCACCAATACTTACCTGTGTGTGAGCTCCCTGGAAAGTAACCATATTCAGTATGCCCATGGACACTTAGCTGATAAGGCAAATTTTCTGAATGATTTGATGGAGGAGTCCCAGGAAACCATGAACTCATGTGGGCACAAGAAGGCACATTTGCACAGTCCACCAAAGCATATGAGAACAACGTGACAAGCAATATTGAGAGATAAACATGTAGCTTCATGGCTGAAAAAGTACATGTAACTGGACTTTTAGCATCATTCCCCCGATTACTCTTCTAATGAATCAAAACTTGACAATTTATATTTAATTATATTTTCACAATTAATGATGTTAATGTGATAGTCAGAATTACAATGAGATATGCAAGTTAAATTATTTATAAATAGGCAAACTTCTATCCCTCACCTTAAAGTGCAGCTAAACCCAAAAATTTTTTTCGCTTAACAAAATAAGCGTATGTTTTGGAGTATTTCTGTCCTAAAATTTTTATTTATTGGCTCAAATCTTCAATTTTCTGTGCCCAGTCAAAATACGGAAAATTGGCCGCCATCTTGGCTCATGACTGAGTTTAAAGAGGAATCTTTCTAGCGGGAATGTGACGTCAAATTGAGAACACGAAAGTCTGCATTTCACACATTTTCACTTGTTTGGGAAGGTTGTTGTTGATATTGTCCAAAATATTCCGACTAGGTGTGTTGTATGAGGAATGTATGAAGCATGATACCCTCTGGCAAATTTTGCACGTTGTTACATCGCGGCCAAAAGCGGCCAACCGGAAATGTCACGTTATTCCTAGAGCGGCCAAAAGCGGCCAAAGAGACCGAGACTATTTTTGGGACTCTGTGCTCCCCTGTTAGGCGATATTTACTCACCCTTTTGTTTTCATTGTTTAAAGTGAGTATTGACCAATAAGAATTTTCTCACTGCGCACAAATTAGCATCCCCTTTAGGGTAGAGAGTGGATGTTAAAAACTTACTAGTTCCGCGTTACCTGAAATATGGCTGCCGCACCGCATTCTATTAGCCGAGAAGAATATCGTGAAATTTTCGGATCGTCCGATGAAGATAATAGCAATGAATCAGACGGTCAGGGTTCTGCGGAATCTGACATAGATTTCGAAGGATTAGCGAGTCAGAGTGAACACGAATCAGACGAAGAAAGTTCGAGCGAAAGCGACGATGAAACTCTGTGGTCGCAAGATTTTGAGGACCTCGTGATTAACAACTTCACAACAACTTCAGGAATCAAGGTCGCTGTTCCCAATGAAGCGAGCGAAAAATTCTTTTTTAACCTGATTTTTGACCTTTCCATTATCGATTTAATGGTCCGAGAAACCAACCGATACGCGCGGAAGAAATTGGCAAATGAACGAACGAGACTTGACAAGTGGAAAGATGTCACTGCTCAAGAACTTAATGCTTACTTTGGTATGTGCATTATAATGGGCATAAACAGCTTGCCAAGAATTTCGATGTATTGGTCGTCCGATTCATTTATTGGAAATAGCGGCATACAAAATATTATGACCAAGAACAGATTCGAGGAGATTAGTCAGTTCCTTCATTTTAACGATTCTTCTCAAGAACCACCACGCGGTGACGATA